AGCATCCGAGGAGCATGTGAATGCTATGTATATTTATTTTAAATATTTTTAATGTTCTTTAATGTTATCCATCGTTTTTTTGGTGGCTCTTTTTTTTTTTTAAGTATCGGTTCAGGCACTGTTTAGGCATCAGTACCGTTTTAAAAGTATCGATTTGGCACCGGTATCGTAAAAAACCCAATCGATACCCAACCATACTCACAATGCCGCACACGAGAACATCTTTACTTTGACCCTTTCAAAATGTACTATCCAATAATCTCTGTTGGAGAGATCAAGATTTGCAGCATACCTGAGTAATCAGAGGGTAATAATCCTCAGTGTATCTATGATAAAAACTATAGCAACACTAGCTCATGCCAGGTTTGTCAGGCTCAGTGGGCAACCTTTTGGTGCCTGGGCTACACAATTTCCCTCCACAATCTTAAAGTACATTGACCTGTCATGCGTCATCATAACAGCATCTGACGTGCGGGCCTCACCCACAGAAAGGTGTAAATTTTTATTGCTCTTACTATTAATAGACAAACTACAGCAGGCATAACATCGGACCATACTCTGGAGACCTGTCTAGTCAAAGCTCTGGTATAAGCAAATGTAAATAGTGATGCTCAAAGTCCTTTTTAAAAGAAAGTGAGTTAACTTGGCGGCCATCTTGGTAACAGCGCCAAACAGAAACTTCCAGTTAAGTACAGCTCCTATGTATTTGAAAGGGGGAAGACTGATTGACATCATAAAATGGTCTGTATGTATTAGGGCTGTGTATCACCAGCAAAGTCACGATACGGTACGTATCACGATACAGAGGCCACGATACGATACATATCACGATACGGGACTGCACTGAATTTCACCTCAGAAAAAATTCGTAAAACAGCTGTTTATTAAACATTGCATACCATAGGGCCGTTGCTAACTATTGGCAGAACAGGCACTTGACCTCTGTATTATGAAGGGCCACTATAACTGTACCACAGTACAATAGCCTATAGGTAATGGCATATGTTTCATGTTTACATTGTGCACTCCCCACCCTACAATATTCTGATAGTTTGCATCTTGTTTTTAAGCCCATATATAATAATGTACTCGTTCTAATAAATTTATATTGTAATGTACTCATTCTAATATATTAAAATCATCTTAACATTGCTGGTAGGTTATCATTGCACAATCAACACACTCTCTACATTTAAAAAATTTAAATTAGAAGAGTTCTAAACTAATGCGCTACTAACTAATAGTCTTCACTGTAGCTCATGCACACACGTTTAGTCAGATCACTCTGCGCGCGCGCACAGACATTCTTTAGACAAACTTTTTAACGCTGCCCCGCAATTTTATCAATAAAATAGCTTAATCGCTGAAGAGCTACATTACCTTTCTTAACAAGGAGCTGGTAACATCATTGTATCTAAAGGAATTAAAGCCAGCCATTCACTGTTAATAGAGAACGGTGTTCTTGTATTCAAATTTAGCACGGCCCACTGCAGCGCACGTGCCGCGATATCGATACAGGGCCAGCTGTATCGTCAGATCTCTGTGACGATACATCGTCGTATCGAACACAGCACTAGTATGTACGGCTTTTCTGATGTAGTAAACTTGCTTGATAGCTCACCTAGTACAGCACAGCACTTGCACTGCGGAGCATACATGTACAATTCCTGTGAAATGTGACCCTGGACCACAAAACCAGTCATAAGGGTCAATTTTTTTTTATTGAGATTTATACACCATCTCAAGGCTGACTAAATAAGCTTTCAATTGATGTATAATTTGTTACAAAAGGACAATATTTGGCAGAGATACAACTATTTGAAAATCTGGAATCTGAGGGTGCAAAAAAATCTAAATATTGAAAAAAATCGCCTTTAAAGTTGTCCAAACTTTGATAAAGAATATCTCTTTGGTTTTGAGACTTTAGTCTTTGCAACTTCAGGGATCTTATCTATGCACAATCAGCTTGTAACACTCCAAAGAGAAAGGAAAACTTGAAATCGCATCATATGACCCCTTTAAGACTGAATTTGTGGTCCAGGGTCACAAATATGAGAGCTCAAAAACTTGAAGCAAGTTAAAATGGCATGGTTCCTTCATCAAATATGTTTGTATTTCATGTTTGCTTTTGTTAACTCTTTCTGTTAGGTTTAACGTAGGGTTAAGTGTAGATGGTATGTTATCTTCAAACGTGATAGAGCATTAACCTTTTAGCGCCACTCAGCAAACATTTAATTTCTGAACTTCCGCAATATGAATAACCACCAACATAATAAAAAATTGCCAGATTTACATTCATATGACATTTACATTCACATTCAAAATTGAAAATTCACTACATACAAGAAGCAATGTAATATAATTTTGCAGAAATGTTGCCACAGGCATGTTTTCCAGTGAGCCTGGGTTGGTAATACTCATATTTTGTGTTGCAATTCTTTAGCTCAAGTAATACAAAAAAGGCTGTATTTTTAGGTTAATCAACTAATACACATGTGCATTCAAATGCAAACAAACAAGTAATGCCTCTATGAAAAAAGCGATTGGCTATTTAAACTGTGAGGCGCGACTACATAATGTCCAATATGGCCTATGATTAGACAGTCTTCTCCCTTCTGCTCACTCTTAATTGTAGGGATTTTTTCAAATCTTACAGACCTGCACCTGGCAGACAAGCATTTCTGCCTGGCAGTAAAAAAGACAAAAGACTTACATTGAAGGTTGGATTTGAGCCATTATAGAAGGCTCTTTTCACTTGGGACACCAAGCAACCACCTTGAAGGCCCTAGCAACGTCCCAGAATCACAAAAGCAACTTTTACTTATGCAACCACCAAAATCACAAAATGTTGTTTACATGTGTCGTCACATTTTTTAGAGGCAAAAATACTCATTACACAACCCAACAATGAACGTGATAACCTGCGTTCAGCAGCTCCTCTGTATAAATGTTGTTTCCATCCTATAGCTACATTTGTAAAAGAGCTGTGCAAGTGCCCAGTGTAACCTTTCACACTAAACACTTTTAGCACTGTGCATTATGTAACCTCATTCTAGCGGTTGGCAAATCCAGTTAATATGCCAAAGTGTGCGTGGCACCCTAGTGCACCTAAACGGCTCGAAACAGTGAATTGGCATTTACGAGAGCTTTCAGTCATCAGGCTATCATTCAATTGAAATTACAGCATCTCTATCCCTCCCCCAACTTGTCCAGAGCAGATGAATAGCCATCGAAGAACATTGCAGTTCAACAGCCATTCACAGTGCATTACTCAAACTGCGGAGGACATTTGAGAGGTGATGATTGCAGCCGGTAAAAAGATCATGTAAAATCTTCTGTTTCAGACTCTTTTTCTTTCACACACTCTCTGTTCTACATAGCCCCCCTTGTTTCTTCAATGCAGGCGCACGTTGGCCAATCACTGGCTGAATCTGAGCCTCCCTCGACTCTTTGCATCTTTCTCTCAATCAAGGGGAACAGCATCTGCTCCGAGTAGAGCTATGCAAACTGTGCGGATTGTATTGGACGGAGAGCGCCAGCAACAGCCTAATGTTACAATGCAATCGTATAGCCGGGACAGTGACACAAACTCACACTGCACACTGATTGTCCCTCTGCAGGGTGGCCCAGTTCGTGCAAGGTCTCCGTAATCCCCTCTCGCTCGCCCACTTTCCAGCTCCGCTGATCCTTCAATTGTCCTCTCTCACTCCGAGTGCGCAGTCAACAATTGATCTAGATCCAACCAGCTAAATTCACCCTGTCATCCACACACATTCTCAGCCTGAAATACGTCCCAGCATCTCACACACTCCTTGCCGGTACCTGAATCGGCTCCGGTGGCTGAGCTGAGATGGGCCCCCCGTGCCGGCGTTGTTGGCACCGTGTGCGGGCTCCCCTGTCGCTCCCGCTGAGGAGCCCGGCGGACGGAAACGCCGCACATCAACCCTGACTCTGTGGAGATTGTAGCAAGAGGGAGAGCTATGCAAAGACCTGCAGCATCTCACCATTTCCCCGCAGTGCTCCGCATAGGCCCCTTCTGCCGCTTCAGACTCCCCTTACACATGATCACTGTGGAAGGATTAGTGCGTATGGCAGGCTTTAGCCCTCTCTCACGCTCACTCCGTTCGTCTGGCCCGGTGGTTTTCCGCTGCAAAGCTTAAAGACCCGCCCTCCCTGCTCGTCACGTGTGGGATGCTTAACTGCGATTGGTCAGCCAGCGGATGAATCCACCTTCTCTTCTAAGCCGCTGCTGAATTCAAGGCCTGGTGCAGCTGGGAAGGTGGTGATATGAAAAGGAGGAGGAGAGGGAGGGGTTTGTAAACAGACAATCCTGTCAGCATGTGCTCAGTAGATCCCGAATTCCATCTATGACCCCATCCCCCCTCTCTCTCTCATCTCTTTCTCAACTGAAGGATAAAGAGCAACAAGCTCCCGACTGTTGTGATACGATTTCTGATCTCAAAATCACTTTCTCTACAAAGTCCAGCGCATCAACAAAGCCTAAAAATACATTGCATTCACTTCAATTTGCTATTAATTTCTGCATGTTCTATACAACATTTCAGTACAGCAACAGTAATGTGTAAGAAAGTCTATAATTGCTACCATATACCAATTTATATGAATTGTATATTCATTCATATCAATATCTGTGTATTTGTTACAATAATAATACTCATTTATATTTTAAACACATATCTTTTTATATTTATTTTAGTGCTGTCAATCGATTAAAAAAATTAACTAATCATAATTTTTTGCTGAAACTAATTGCGATTAATCCCACCTAACATTAAAGCTTTTAAATACTTTTATATTGCAATAATTTCACATTCAATCTTCAAATCAAAGTAGAAACAACAAAGGCGGTATATTTTTTAATATTTGTTTAGTGGCATCTTTTTTTATTTTTGAAGGCGAGTATCACTGATACCAATACTACTGATGTCTCTAGGAAATAGTTTTATTAATATAAAATAATAATAATATTTAACCATGGACTACAGCCATTCAACATGACAGTAGCTATAACTGAGAGCTATCAATTTTAACATTTATTAGACTTTAAAAAATAACTTCAATTGAACTTAGAACAATCTTCACATAAACCCATTATAATAAATGTCATATTTAGCTACCTGTGCCCTTCAGCATGTAGGAAATACAGAAATTGAATAAAGTTATCAAACACTAAACTCTAAATGAAATATTGAATTGAATTTTCTTTTGTTTTTTGATTAACAGACATCACAGCAGCTGGTTATTAGGTTATTTTGGATGCTTTAAGAGCTGCCGCTGCTGAACATGACGCAGATCTGACACGCATCGTATTTTCTTACAACTCTTTACCTTTTGTGACCCACTTCAGCTCTTAAAGTCTCTATTAATGAGCTGACGGGTTGAATCGGGAGTTAGATGAGGGAGACAGTGCTGGGCTGCTCCAGGACAGTTTTGAAAACCACTGCATGTTCTTAAATGTGACTCATATAACAAATACCTGCATGCATGCACAGTTTTAAGGCAGCTTTAATCAACTTTTTTGGTAACTTCACTTAACTGATGACATAACTATGACATTGCATACTTGTAATTTCATTTGCACTTTAATATGATATAGCACTTTAATAATATAATACAACGCGCACCGCCATATTTTTGTGTGCAGTTGTAGAGCACGTGCTACGAGCACAGCATAACAGCTGACAGGACAGGAACATTGGTTTTTACTGACATATGTCCTGACAACATCTCATCTGAGCACAGTTCACTGTTGTTCTACTGAAGCTCCTCGTCACCTGTACATTTTCCACGCTCGTTTGACTCGCGCCTGGTGCTGAGGTGAAGTTGCAGTGCGCCTCTGAAAAGTCTCCTGTTTGATGAGATCGTAAAGATGTTCTGCATCTAAATAAACGCAATTCTTGTCAAGAAAAAAAAAAAAGAGAGACAGAAGCAGCAGTTGTGAGTGGGGTGGCCCCACTCATTAAATATTTGTAATGCGTTAAAGCGCTGATTTTGACAGCACCAATTTATTTTAAACACATATCCATCTATCTGTCTATTAAAATATAACATATATATATGTTTGCATATATTTTTATTTATTCATTATTTTTTCCTTCTCTCACCCAGATCAATCACTAAGAAAATTCTTTGAACTGATTCTTTTACATCTGTTCTTGACAGTTTAGTATTCTTTCACATCCTGTAATGTTTCTGTAATAATTTATAACACAATAAAAACAATTACATCTATTTGTTGTGCCCTGGCAAAAATAAAAGTTCTCAAATAAACAATACACTTCATATATTCTTTAAAGGAAAACCAAAAGCACACTTGACCGCCTGCAAATCACATGAACTTGACTTCCTATTAAACAGGAAGGAAGTAAATCTTCCTGTCTCGACTAATCTTTTGATATGTGTTTTAATACGTAAATTCCTGTGTAAAAACACTATGAATGATCCCCACTAGTAATAATTCAATCATTTATTTCTAGTTTACTCTACACATAAAATAATTTGACAACCTAATGAAAAAAGAATTCAAATTCATCCCGCAATACAAATCCAAAATGACTTAAAGGAAATCTTTACACTCACTTGTATGGAGTGACACAATAAGAGGTCTGTCGATCTTCTCAATGGACTACACTCCTCTTACTGTCTTTGTACTAGGATCCGCTCCGATATGGCATGTGTGTGATGGGATGTCATCACTAAATATTAACCAGACCAATGAGTGAAAGGGCTTACTTCCTATTTGATGACTGTCAAAGAGCCCATCCCACTCCATAAACACACACAACTGCAGACAGCTATAGCGTGTGTGTTCAGAAGACACAGAGAAATCAATATAACTCACAGGACCAAGTGCTTGTGATTAAAGTCATTAAAGGAAACAATTTGATTTATCACTGTATTGTGCCACGATCATTTTCACAGAGCGATTGCTTTTGTGTGTTACGACAACTACCTATTGCAACATACTGTAACTCATAATTTTTTGGGGTGGAGGGGTTGCAGTGAATTGGTATTACTTTTGGGAACTGGTTTATAAGAATGTAGCACATGCTGGGCTGGATGATGCATTAAACAAGAATCTAGGATAGTACAACTGAAACTTTTTGTTATTTCATTACTGCTGCTATCAAATACAAAAAAGAAAGTGAAGAAAATGTCAACCTTAAACCTCTTCAAGATAGAATAAAAAATATTCATGTTAGACATTAGATGATTTTTAGTTTTGTGTCAGAACAGTATCGAAGACTGCTTTATTATAAATAAAAAAAGATTTAGTGAACTGAACTCGCAGCATGATGAAAGAGCATAAGAATGCATCAATTTAGTTCTGTTCTTTCCTTTATTTCTTTCTGGTTTTATTTAAATATTATAAATAAAAAAAAAAGTTATTTTAAATTGTAATAATATTTCAAAATATGACTATTTTTATTGTATTTTATAAATGCAGCCTTGGTGAGACTTCTTTTCAGAAACTGATCCCAAACCTGAACAGTAGACAATAACTATTATTACACTTTTTACACTCGATTTAGTATCATGACAAAAGAGTACAAGTATCGGAAGACTTTATTGATTTATTTTCCAACACCTCTAGGCTACAAATATAACAAAGCCACTGTGTATGTCTGAGAAGGTTCTGGAAAATGGGCACACCGACACAAAGAGCGCCGTTATCTCTGGCAGCGAGGCTTTCTGCCTGTGCCTTATCTGTAAATCTACAACAAACCCGCTGAACAGAAATCTGTCCTCATATATCAGGCGTAACATAAAAGAAGAGTCCATGACTGACAGTCTGTGAACACCGATCATACACAGAGCTAACAGTGAGAGTTTCAATGGTATGAATACCAAAGCCAAACACATATGCATGATAAAGATAAGAGTATAATATGTCTGAAAATGTCAAAAGCACTATTTCTACATGCTTAGAATGCAATGAAATCACATAAGGGTTAAAAAGGATATTTTAGAGTTTTTTTCTCCTTGATTCAGACACTGTATAAATAGTCTTGTACCTTTGTTGCACAACCCCCGTTTCCGTACAAGAAGAAATCTTGCTATTGTTTGTGAGGTACAAGTCTGTCAAAATGTCCTCATGTCATGTTTAAAGTCACAAAAGATCAACTTTTTAGAGGTTGTGACAACCGACTTAACTGCATTATAACAGATTTGTGTGCAAACATAACTGTCCAGCACCCACAGAGACAGGTCATGAACGGGTCACGATGAGCAACCGCTAAACAGGAGCTCCACGTTGGAGGCTGATGTTTATCTGTTGTATGAAACAGATAAAACACTACATCACACTAGGGAAAGCCTTCAAACAAAACCAGCCAATCAGACGCTAGTGACACCAGCAGTGAATTTCAACACGCTCAGGTGATTCGGACACTCAAACAACCAGATCGCCTGGCTGGTATTAAAGGTCACACAACAAATGAACACAACATTGTACCTGTCCTGGATTTGTGACATGTCATTACATCAGATAACATTTCATTTAAAAAGACTTGAAATTTAATAATCACAAATACATGAATTAAGTGATTAAGTCACTCTTAATTTTAATAACTTTAAACTATGATCATCTTTAATATTATTAGATCTGATTCATGTGGCATTTTTGATTACCACTGAATAAGAAAAAACTACGACAGCTATCTTTTTAGTTATTATTTGTTTTTAAGGTTATTTAAATTGGTTACCGTCAATTTAAATAACTTTGCACAAGCAACAGATTTTAGGCTTGCCAAACAAAACAAATAGCCAAAATCTTCCCCGTAACAGGCTGACATCTCCTGCAGTGTCACACCGACACTGTCAGGTATGGATGTTTGTACAGCTTCAAAGCAACACCACAATCAAAACTCTGACAGAGCAGTGAATGACACACCATCTTATCTGCATCTTAGGGCCCGTTTACACTTGGCCACTTCATGCTTTTTCATTGATCGGATAGCTATCCTATCATGAGTGTTCAAGCAAGTGTTATTTTAGTACCGCTGATATACTAAATATATATATATACTAATTTGCAATATTTCGATAATTTCGATATATTGCACAGCCCTAATATATATATATATGTATGTGTGTTAGCATGAATCCTCATTCTTGTAATAACACTGTATAAAAAGGTTAGTATGTACACACACTTTTGAACATGGGCTCCACAGTGTATCTCAGTATCCAGAGACATTTAACACAGCCATACCATCAGTGTCCCAACTTCACTATACCAGCACAAATAAGTGAGTTTGAGAATGAATTTTGATTAACTTGATATCAGTTTTCACAGTTTCAGGAAACTTAAGTTTGCATAGTTCACGGCACACAACCAACTGAGCTAAAATCAGAATGTGGGGGGAAAGGTTGTGGATATGACAGACAACGCATTTGCAATGGCAACGTTTTGCAACTGTTAGACAGTTTGTCTGGGAATTTTACACACAAATAATACTGTATTCTGAGATTGACCTTACCTGAAATTCATTGGCAATTCGTGGTTGCACTTCGATGCCAAGCTTCTCCAGCTGCTGATCCTTGTATTGCCCATATTGATTGTATCCTACATAACCCCCGCCTGTAGCTATAAGAAGAGGAAGTGGTCGTACACGGGCCTGTAGTCCAAGAAAACCTGAGATAAAGGAAAAATAACATCATTTAATGGATCCATTAGATGTTTGTGACAGTCACTTTAAGGATAGTGTTTGGAGAACAACTGCAAATATACATAAGAAAGTCATTGTTTAAAGAAAACCACATGCTTGGTTGATCCAATCTCAGTTGGAATTATTTAAGCACACAGACACACTGTGTGTTTTATATATTTATATATATATATATATATATATAGCTTGATATAAAGACTTGACGCAGCGGTGCCACCTAACATCTCTTATGACGAACTGCAGTTTTACATTCTCCAAGAAAGACCCTTTTAGCGTAACGTTGCGCAAGTTTGTGAAAAATGCGGAATTGTGCAGTGGCGCATAAAAAAACCGTCGACAAAAATATTTTGTAAATGTGACTGACCTTTTGAAAATAACCTCAATGTATCCATTAGATGTTTGTGACAGTCAATTTAAGGATAGTGTTTGGAGATCAACTGCAAATATACATAAGAAAGTCATTGTTTAAAGAAAACCACATGCTTGGTTGATCCAATCTCAGTTGGAATTATGTAAGCACACAAGCACACACTGTTTATGTGTGTTATACAGAGCTGGGTAGTAACTGATTACATGTAATCTGGATAACGTAATCAGATTACACAAATTAAGCACATGTAATTAGAGTAAATTACATTTTAAAATACTCAGAATCAGCCTACGGCCTTTTTATTACAGTATTACATATTATTCACACAATAGCAATACATTACTCATAACTTATTGATTCTCCCAAATTCCTCTTTTTCATCTTTTAAATGTTCCTTTCTAAAATAGCCTACCACTGATATGCATTCAGAAAGTCTTCCAGTTTTGTGGACATTCACACAAAGATCAGTCAATATTCAGGTGGCTGTAATTACACAGAAAATTAAGAGGCCACACAGCATTTGATCACTGGATTTATAAAAATCATTTCAGGTGTTTCAACATTGCACCAACTACTGATGAAAACATTAATGTTTATTTGAATTATCACTCAGTGATACCAGTTATTACAATGTCTTTTGAAGGCTTTTGTCTTTCAAACACATTAAAATGCATTATTTCTTATTTACACGTAATGCAGGCATTCCCGAACATTATTGTCATCTGAACATCTTTCACCTAATATATTTAGTTGAAGTACCCCTGAGATGTTAAAATAAATATTTAATAATTGAGTATCACATTTGCATGTTCACGGTTCTCTGACATTGGTTAATGGTCACATGACATGCAGGTAAACTAATTCATTTTTTAGGAAGCGTTTCATTTCTTTTTATGTTATTTTAAAATGATTTATTTTAATATTACATTTTTATGATTTAATTAATGACTTAACTTTTCATTAAACTCACAAACCCCCTGCAGTACCTTTACAAACCCCAGACGTTATGCAATGTTTAATGCACTTAATGTTGTTAATTTCAACGGATGGAATACATTTTTTTTTACTCTTTGTATTTTTATATCAATATGGTACAAGATTATCCTATTTAAATCAATGTGATAATCAAGTTAGGTCAAAAGTAACCTAAAAGTAATCGAAAAGTAGTCTGATTACATTACCTGAAATGTGTAATGTAATGGATTACGTTACTAACTACAATTTTTGTCCTGTAATTTAGGACCAGTAACAGATTACAATTTGTAAGTAATCTACCCAGCTCTGGTGTGATACATACATACATACATATATATATATATTGATATAAAGACGTAGCGGTGTCACCTAAAGTCTCTTATGACGCTTTCAGCGTAACGTTGCGCAAGTTTGTATAAAATGCGGAATTGTGCAGTGGCGCATAAAAAACGTCTGTGGGAGCGTTTAATACTTTTGTAAAGTTGTTTACAAAAATACTTTGTAAATGTGACTGACCTTTTGAAAATAACCTCTGATGGCTCCGTCTGACACCGAAGCCACTGTGCTGCAGAAAACTGCAAACAAGACCATTCACATCACAATTTAAAAACACTCGAGAACTAACGTTACATTACCGACATGTGCATTTCTAAGCATCTCGATATGAATAAC